CAGCGGCGGCCTCACCGCCGCCTCCCCGAACCCAGCCCATCGACGCGCATCCGAAGGTGGAGCCGCCCTCTACTACGGCAGCCGCAAGGCCGAGTGGGGCACCGAGAACACCGATGTGGCCAACAAATTTCGCAATTACGAGATCTAAGCGGCGGGAGAATGGATGGATGACCTGATGATGATTATCGATGCCATGAGATCAACGTGAGGAGAGAGCCAAGCAGAGAAAATTGTATGCATATTTTTAGCCCCTCAGAGGGCAGTATATCTCGATGTGAGTTTGAACAAAACATATTCCAATTACAAATATTATTGAACAAAGCAAATACAAGACATATGCGAAGAAAACATATATTGAGCGAAAGTCGCGATTCGCGAAATACAAAATATTATTAACCAACTCTACTTACCTACATATATACAGATATAAAGGCGTACGTGTTCTATATACAGGCATAGTACATATATTGATGTGAATTATAGCGTTGCAAAATAATAATTATATATATAAATGTTTATAGGTGTATTTAAAATATGAAAAATGGTAATTAAATATAAAAGAAACTGTAATTTCAATAAACAAACGGCTGGAAGGCGGCAAGAGGTTAAAGTTAAGCTTAAGTGAAACATTTGAATGAAATTAGTCAAATTTTAAATGTATACAGTGTCAAACTGACTCACATATACACGAGCACCCACACACACACACATACTATATAATGAATATATTTATCTACAACTATTTGTATATTGATGTATGTATTTATGTACCATGTGCCCCTAAGAGACAATCCCTTTGGAAGTGTTTACCAGTGCACTGAAAAAAAATTGATAACTCTAACTGAACCTAGCATCAAAATGCCCACCACACAGAACTTATCGGAAGCGAAAAAGTTGAAAAAAAAACCCTACCACAAAAGCGAATTTAATAACTATTTATACACAACAAAAAAAAACTGCATAGTCAAAAAAAAAAATCTTTCACTTGGTGTCCTTTAACAAGCAAATCCAAAATTTGCAAACAAAACTAAATAACTAAACTATTTTATTAATTTATGAAAGAAAGAGCAGTCACTCGTAGACTTGCTTAAAAACATAATGAAAAAAAAAAAAAAAAAAAAAAACAAGAAAAAAAAGACGAAATATAAATGTTTTGATGCATTGTTGTTTTTAATATCGATGTGTGATGCAATTCTTAAATGTTATACAAATGAATATCAAAATACAAATATATGAGCGAAAATTAAATTTTGCCATCGTAAAGCTACATTATATAAATGTTTATTTGAAATCATATTGAATTTACTCAAATACACACATATTATTGACCTTTCAATAATAATTGGAAATTTAAAAAAATAAATAAAAATAAAAATAAAAATGAAATCTAGTGAAGATTTAACTAATTCGTAATTAAAACAGAATCTCCTTAGATCGCAAGCCAAAGAAAATTATTTTTGAGGGCCCACGTGGCGTATGAATCGCGTAAGGCAAAGCTTCATAAACTAGCAAAATTATGCAAATACATAAATGTTGAATTTAATTTAGCGGAATTATGAATGTATAAATGGCAAACAAAATAAAGTCAACTATTTAAAGAAGTTTCTTCATTTGAAGAGGCTTCACGAAAAAAAACCTCAATGTAGTTTTTTCTTATTTATTTAAACTAATCTATCTATATGATTCACTATCTATATGATTCACTCCAGTTGACTTCCCGTTAGCTCTAAGACCTGACTGAGCGTGAGCTTCGAGTCGTCCCACTGGTAACAGGGTCGGCGATCCGATTGCACGAACTCACGTATCCAGCGATTAAGCACTGCATAATAATAGAGCCACATTGTTAAACCAATAGAGCTCGAATGCCCAGCAAGATTCGCCACTTACCCCACTTGGAGCCCACAATGATGGGGCAGGCGCCGTGCATGGTCCTCGCATCGCCCACGCCCGAGGCGTGCAGGTTGTACCAAAACGCGGCTAAAATTAGCGAAATTGAGAGACATATAATTACGTGTATGCAAAGGGGGCTGTACAAGGATCAGATGGAACTTGAATGCCTTAAAGGATAGGGCTTCATAATAGTGTTTAAGTTTTCGCTTTGATTGCAGCATAGTGTTTATAAGCTTAGACTGTAAGCGCATTCAAAATATTACTAGACTTCCTGCTAGTTTATCGTCCCGTAACGTTATAGAAGCCATTAGCCAGCCCCCATTCAAGTTCCTTCTGCACGTACCTGCATATTTCTTGGGTCTGAGCAGCTGCTTCAGAGCGGGAAATGCCGTCGCTCCACCCTGTTCCACATCGCTGAGCTGTGAAGTGCAAAAGGGAAAACATGTTTCTCAGTGGGTAACAGTGGGCAACAAAGGGCAACAAAGGCCACAAAGGCACTTACATAGAAGAGGACGGTGCCAATGCGATTGCCCATTTCCGGATTGGACACCTGCTTAGTTTCAAACTGGCAAAGCAGATTAAAGGAGCTTCATCATAAAATATGAATATGAATTTGAGCTTCTGTACTTACGGTTATCGGGTAGAACCAGTCCATATGCTGGGCATAGTGGCCGCCTATGCCGTAGTTGGCCAGCTGATGATCCTCCGCATACTCTGGAATCGAAATACATATACATATATGGCGGGGCACAGTTTCAGTTGAAGCTCACCCAGGTGCAGGTCGGTCATGTCGGCCACGCGCTGATCGATGGTGCGCAGCACTTTGTGGCGCGTCTTCGGGAGGAAGGTGAATTGGCTGGTACGCGCATTGGACACAACGGAAGAGTTGTGGCCCGTGACTGTGGCACGATGAATTTTGTTTTTGGCTAGCCTCATCAGCGTATCGATTTCACTCTGATAGATGACATCGTGGAAGAGCACAAGCAGTGGATCGTGGCTCAGCTCCTCGACCTTCAGGGGTGCCAATAGCAGAAAGGGATGCGTCTCGGTCATGTAGCCACAGCGCAGCTGACGCAGCTCTGACGGCGTGGGTCTTATATGACCATTGCAGGTGTGGCGGTAGAGCTCAAAGTCGCTCAGCTTGGTCAGGTCCTCAGGTAGGGGCTAGATATGCAAGGCGAAACAGAGATTAGATGAATTGGAGTATGATAATAAAGTCCCATACGCACAGCATGTTCATCGACTGGATTAGCGGTCAGCTCTTCGATTTGCTTTTGGACTTGATTAAGCTCTTCCCAGTTATCCAAGGGGCTCTCACTGCCTGGCTCTATATTTTTCAGCATTTCCAGGGTATTATTCATGCCTCGGCTTTCAGACTGGCTTAGCCTGGCTTTCAGCTTGACTAGCTGCTCCAAAATCACTGGCAGTAGCTTAGCGCGATCCTTGTCCAATAGACGGCGGTTCGCCTCCAGCAGCCAGGCGTGCGCCAGCTGCAGATGCTCATCTCGCGCCGCCTGTTCAGCTATGTCCAGGCAATGCTGAGCGTTTAGCTGAGTGCTACAATGCAGATGACGTGGGGTAAGTGTGATTAGTGCATTCCCTGTTAGAGTTTCTCCCATTTATTTGCCATGTGGCTCACCCATAGGAAACACCGTCGAGTATTCCAGCAGCCACATGCTTGGTCTGCAATCTATAAATGTACTGCAGACGCAGCAGTCCATCTATGGCGCCCTCCAGCTCCCGGGGATTGGGCATGTCCTCTCGCTGGCGCAGCCGCTGCAGACGTGACAGGGGCTCTGTAATTGAAGGGTGTACGGAGCGTATGCGTAATGTGGTTAGCATATAAGTGAATTGGACACCCACTCGCTCCGGTTGCGGCTGCCATGAGATTCGCAATGTGCTCCCAGTCCAGGGTCAGGCGTTTGCTCAGCAAATATTTGTTCAGCGGACTTTCGAAGTACGTCACGCCCGATTGCTCGGCTTGGCTACGCTCGCGCTCGAATTCGTCCAGCCGCCTGTCATTGCAGATTGAATTGCATCAAATTGAATTAGTGCCAGCCCAGCCCCGCCGGAGTCAACTTACGCTCGCAGAAAATCCAATTTGCTCTCATTATCAGCGATGAATTTTTGCATGTGCTGCAGCATTTGCTGCTCGTACCGAAAGACCTTGGACATCGCATGCACGGAGGAATAGAACTCGGCCGTGACATCACTCCAGCACAGAGCTGCCAGCACCGCCAGCAGCCCGAACAACTTCAGCTTCAGAAGCATCTCTACTCTCGGCCACGACTCGCGCTCAACTGATTTCGCCAATTGACCCCGCCGGCTGATGGCCCGTTTGATAGCATATGCATGGTCATGGCTCCCATACGCATATTACATAATTTCTAACCCCAGCCCTAGCCCTAACGTAGCTGCCAATAGCCAATCGAGCCAAACCTGTTTCTGCTCACGGAAAACGTAAAGAACAGCAAAGTTCATTGTGCCAAATAACTGGTTTTGAATCTACGTGCTAGCTGGCCTTAGATGTTCCATTGATTTGCAGCTCATATGGAAGATAAATGACGATAAAGAAGAAATAAGTTAAATTTGCTAACAAAGATAGGTCTGAAAATCGTGAGTCCTTTTGAAAGATATATTCTGAACTAACTTTCACATTATTATTTGTGAAATGCAATGAAAAATGAAAAAAAAAAAAAAAATTAAATGAAGGTGTAATATGTAAAAGTTACTGCTATGGGCTTTTATCTCACAACTGTTATAATCATTTTATTATATTAATTTTATTTTATTATATTAAACAAGTGACAGCAATTAGTAAATTGAAATAATTCATACTCATTATCTCACTACAGAATTAATTAATAAACGAAAAAAAAAAAACTCCACAAATATTCGATTACTCAAAAATAAAAAATAATAAAATATTATTTGGTTCTTTCTAAGCATTTCAGCTGCTGTTAAACTCCCCTGTTTTCATTCCCCCCCGACCCCTTCATTATGTTGTCGCGACAGAAAGCATAAGCCAACAAGCAAGAGCGAACAACTGTGTAAATATTTGCCTAGATTTCTTCATAGTTCCATTCCAAATCTATCTCTAATATCTGAAATGGAAAGTCAGCCAGTAACATTTGGTAAAATGATTCGACTGAGTGCGGTTCTATTGATGCTCGGATTGGCATGCTTCGAATTTGGTAATATTGCAGCCGAATGTGCTGAGCCCACTATGGGATTAAATAGTCTTCTGCAATTGGAGGCGGTGCTGGTGAAGCACTTGGAGTCTTATGTGGACAAGGTGCAGAATGAGCAAGAGACGATTTCAAGGTAGATTCGACGCAAGCTAAAATTAAATAATAGAAATAATATATGTATTTATTGCACAGTTACTTGACCGACATCGACAATTTGCACGAGCATATGAATAGTACGGAGGAGTACTATGGTAATCCAATCAACGCGTTCTTGACCATTAATCGGTTCGCCAGCCTCTGGAAGCATGAGATATTTGATGTGTTGCTGGCAAACAATACGCATAGCGAATACATTAATGCGATCGATAGCGAGATGGATAAAAAGAAACTTAGAGGACCCACGAATGAGGATCTCCTCATCGCCGCTGGCAATCTATTGGATATGCAGGAGCTCACAGGCATTCCCACCTCAGAGCTAGCCAACGAAGTTGTGCTGAGGGATTTCTATACTGACAAGAATGTGACTCTGAGCGCCAGCGAATGCTACGAAATCGGAAGAAGTTTTTATGACCTGCAGAGCTATGAATATGCAGCTCAGTGGCTACAGCAGGCACGCAAGCGTGCATCTCTGGAAACCTCGGCGAGTGCCAGTAAAATACATATTCTGGAACACCTTGCTCTGGTATACAAGAAGCTAAACAACACCAAGCTCGCTTATAAGCTCACAAACGAAATTCTAAAACTCGAACCGACCAATCAGGCAGCCCTCAATACTAAAACCTTGCTACAAACGGAGCTGCTGCTCGATCGCATAAGGATATCAAAGGTAACGGTGGATGAGCAAACGGATGAGAACCACTTAGAGCTTTAATGGCAATTGATTTCACGAATAAAATTGATATCTAATTGAATATATTGTTATTAAATTAAACTATGTAAAGTTGTGTATGTAAAGTTGAGTGTTTCAGCAGAGATAAAATTTGTTGGACAATGTGTTAAAATTAATATTAAAGTCAGAAATATATAGCAGCGTAATATAAACATTATATCAATAAAGTGCATATACATATATACGTATATATATGTAAGACAATATGTATTCCTGACATACCCTATTCAAATAAACTCAAAATGGGGAAAAAGGTAAACAATACAAATATTTTCCGAGCAATAAAATCAATTTTATTTTACATATATGTCAGAAAACTGTTATACACATTGTTTCATTCATTTATTCAAATATAAATATATATGTATACATGCATATAATAAATAAATAAATGCCACGCTTCATGCAGATTTTAAAATGTTTACCCTGATATGCGAGCCAGACTGAAAGAGAAAGAGAGAGTGAAGGAAAATTATAATTAAATTGAAACACTTTAAATCATATCAGCAATTTTACCAACCATTAGTCCATCAGTTTACGCTCGGTTGATAGCCCACTTAAATACGAATTGAAGCATAATTAATGATTGCTAAATAATTAAATGCATTTCATGCCAATGCATTTTAGCTATGCACTCAGAATTTCTGATGAAATGAGGTGAACTTGTTACGTAAAACGAAGCGAAGCTGATTCGAGAAGGCTTCAAAGCTTGAAATGGAGAGCTAGAAGTTAACAAAGCGACAGAAGGACTAATTACGCTTATTAAGACATCAGTTGAAGCTCCTTCACAGACGTAATTAATTCTTTGAAATTGTCTTAATCATGACGACGATGAGGAAATTAGCCCAATAACCAGGGCAAGGCGAAATTCGCTGGAATTGAGTACAAGTTCTTTGACATATTAAGTAACAGTTAACCTTGGCTCATACATAATTCCTAATACATGTTTGTCTATACACGAATGAACATAACATTAATTACGTAATTCGTAAATCCGATTGCGTAACTAAGGCAATGGATAAGGTATTTAAACGGTGTAAATATCCTGTATATGCATTTTTAAATTACTTTCTAGTAGGTAACTAAGGAAATATATAAATTTATGAATTATTTTCACTTGAGTAACTTTATGGCTATTAACTTTGGGTAAATGCTAATTGGGTAAATGTTAATTACTTTGCCTAGTCAACTCTATTTAATTAAATCTTCAAGTTCACTCATTCATTTAAAAGGATTTGAAAAGAGAGAAAAATCCGTGTAATAGCAGCTCGACTCAATGGAAACGTTTTACGGCTAGCATTTCTATAGCCTGCTTAGATTAGAAGCCAAATAATTTGCTTCAGGCATCAGTATATATGACTATATGACTTGCTCTTCTAACAACAATAGATTCGCAAGACAAGAAATAAACAAAGCAGAGAAGAGAGAACAGAGAGAATTCAGAAGAGAATTATAGAATATACTTTAAAATTTAAAAGGCAGTTTGCCTCTTACACCTTTCTCATGACCGTTCACAGTTTCTACCTCTTAGTTTAGCCACAGCAGCCGAGCGGCTTGGTCAATTGTTACAGCATAGCAACTTTGGCACCCATAAGCAGGCATTATTTTTTAACAAATATAAAAAACTTGCCAGTCATTGACCCGGACGGGAATAAAAACAGCAACAACAAAGGCTAATTATGCAAATGCCAACAGCAGCAGCAGCAGCAAAGCGATGGCTGTGGCTACTTTGGCTCGCTTTGATGTGGCCAAGAGCTGTGAGTGGCAGCACTGAGGAGGAGCACTTACGGGGACTGCTGACCACCGAGAACTCGCTCATCAACGCACTGCGCGACTATATAGATGCCTTAGATCAAAAGCTGGCGGTAATTAAAAGTGAGACAGCGGCCATAGAGGAACTGCATCAGCTGGTGGGCGAGCGGGTGGAGGAGCACATGGGCAATCCACTCAATGTGCTTACCATACTCAAGCGTTTCCAAAGCGTTTGGCCGCTGCTTGAGCAACAGGCGAATGCCAGCCAAAATCTGGCCATAAATCTTCCAGATTATCAGTTGGATTTACAGTTGCCCAGCGAGGAGGACTACGAGGCGGCTTTGCTCAATCTGCTGCGACTGCAATCCGTATACGACCTCAAGCCAGCCGCCCTCTCGCTGGGCATAGTCCACGGCCTGAAGGTGGGGTGAGTATGCCCAGAGAAATGCAAACAAATGCAAAGCACACACTACATTGACGCTTCAATTCGAACAGCTCGGCCATGTCGTGGAGTGACTGTCTAGAGATAGCTCGCAAGTCGGAGAGGAATGGCGACCACGCCGTAGCCAAGCACTGGCTGGAGACGGCGATGGGAATGTTGGCAGCTGAGCAGAATGCTACAATATCGGTCAGCGAGCAGGAACGGGCCAGGATTAAAATACTGGAGGCATCGCTCAATATGGATTACCGTGCAGGTGCATCTCACTGGCATTCATAAAAGTTTGTTATTTTTTTTTTTTTTTTTTTTCTATAAATTCCTTGTTTGCTTCAGGTGAATTTTTGAGCGCACTCACAACAGCCAAAGAATTGTTGCTCCTGCGTCCTGCCAGTCGCAGTGCACAAAAAGCAAAAGCCGAGATAGAACGTGCTTTAAACGGAAGTCCTGTCAAGTTTGTGCCCAACAGGAAGCTGAAGGCAAAGGTAAACAGAATTGCACAAATTTTCACAAGCAAACCAACAATAGCCCGATAAATAATCACTTTGTAGTATTTACTTCGAGCATTTTCATAGGGAGAAAAGCAGAAGGAGTTCATGGTAAAAGAAAGTAGTTGAAACTCTTTTAGATGTTCGAAAGAATCTGCCTTAAGTATCTCATTTTATAGCTCTAAGTTGGAAACATAGAAGATATAGGTTGGAAGATATAGGCTATATACATATGAGATATATGTTATACCGATATGCCTAGCACCCAATGTTATACACATGTTTATCATTTTTGGCAAGTTAATAGAGGATACTTTTGCTTGATTGAACTCAAATTTATATGTATTACAGCCACTATTGGAGGCATCAAATTGGACTTTCAATTTTCGTAAAAAATGCCTCAAGGTCTTTGTCTGATTTGTATAATCTTTGGAGACAATCTTCAAAATATTACAGAGCAAGAGCTATATCATATGAGAACTTCTCTTTTTGTGGAGTGAAAACTCCTTGATCTATTGTAATTAAATTGAAAACAAAAAGAATAACAAAAATCTTTAATTTGACAAATAATTTGTTAACTGTTGATTAGCCATATTTGCTATATATTTTATTTTTACAAATATTAATATATATGTATATTAATATATATGTATATTTACATGACGGTCTTTTCAAAAATTCTATAAATATCAATATCAATTTACTATATAAAATAGACTTTTCGAAAGGCAAATATTAAAATTTCATACTTTATAATTCTAAAATAGTTTAGGAATTTTTTCATATACTTTCATTTGTTAAATTTCTATTGTAGAATTGCTTACTATATATAGCAGAATAAAAATATTTTTTTTTTCACAATTTTCTATTCTTCACGTTACCTTCCGCTAATAAAATTCAGTTATGTTCCCAGCTGAGTAATCGCAAACCCCATTGTCATCTAATATATGTACATATATAGTTATATATATATCTATAATAATATGTATATGCTTGTCGAGTTCAACGTATTCTTCTTTAAATTCATTTCAAGTCAACAAAATCCGTTGAGCAGCTGATTGTTGATGAGCTGTGTCGGTCGACGGCACAGCAGCCCGTAACAGGTAGCCGCTTCACAGAGTGCCGCCAAGATGTTGCGAATCTGCGCATGCTGCGCTTGGAGCAGCTGAGTGAGGAGCCATACATCATGCTGTATCATGATGTGCTCAGCTCTAAGCAGACCGAACGGCTAATTGGTATGCTGGATGAGCTGCCGCAACAGCGGCGCTCCAGGAGAGAGGCCTTTGAGCCTTTGCAGTTCACTAAGCTGGCGCAGCGAAGGTTGCGTGGCATCCACAGTCAACTGGGCATTGGCGGAGTGGAGCCGGAGCTGTGGCAGGCACGTCGGCACAGTCACGAGCACGTCACACCACCAACGGATCCACCAAGCATAGCCGAGCATGCGGCACGTGCTCTGCTCAGCGTGCGTAATTTAAATGCAATGATTAACTAATATGTTACTAATTGGTCTATTATCGTCTCACTCCACCCATTAGCTGCAAGAGGCCAGGCTGGGCGGCGCCATTGTCTTCCCGCAACTGGAGCTCAGCGTGTGCGTCCCACGGGGCGCGCTGCTCTACTGGAGTCAACGCAGCCGGGAAGAGCATTCAGCCACGCCGAGGCCAGATTACCGAAGCCGCCAGCTGGTCTGCCCGGTGCTGCTGGGCACTCAGCTGAGTAAGTAGAGCAGCAACGACACCTGCCACAAGAGTCTTTCTGATATAGATGTGCTTGTTTTTCATTTCTTTCAGCGGCCTGGACGCAGCTCAGCTAAGGCCTCACAGTATTTCAGAGTTACTGCTGCTTGATGTGCCTTTTAATCTTTCCCTAATTGCCGCAATGGAGAACAAAAACCCAACAATTCCCTCATTTTATTGAATTTCATTTGCACTTTCATGCCTTTTTTCTAAGGCGTGGCCGTTCACTAATTAAAGAGCAAGCGAATTTCAATATTTATGCATCACAGCATTAGAGCTGAGCGTTTGTCTGGTTTTGGTCAAATGTCTTTTGTCGTCTGACAACAGGAAATAGTTAAAGTCAATATTAAATACTCATAAATACGAACAGAAATTTGCAAATGCTAAGCTCACTAGATGTCGGTGTAAATCAAATGTCAATTAAAGCAAACAATGGCACTTATAATGAATTTTACTCGCCCATTAATAAATACAAAATCCAATAAAAAACCGCTAAGCGACATACCCTGTTTTTGTTCATTGTTTTCAGAAATCAATAAAATATTACTGAAGGCATTTGATACATTTTGTGTCGTAATCGTCAGTTAAACTGTCAACGGCTGATTGATTATAAAGTAAGAAAATGTACTAAGAAATAAAAAAATATATATATAAAAAATTTATAATACCTGCATTAAAATATTTACTATATTTTAAGTAAATATTATAATGATATAATATTAAATTTATTGCATATCTCAAAATTACAGGGTATACTTATGTTGACTTATTGGCCAGCGCGACGCTTTCCAACACTGTCGCATCGTTATTGTCGACTTTATTATTAAATATCAAACAACGCGTTCTTAATTAGGTAGAATTAATAAGCCATCGGATAAGGCAACGATATGCCGCG